AGTGCGTAATGTGCAGCATACGTTCACTACCACTATATGTTAGTCCACGTGCATGTTGCTTCTCCTGCTCCCACCCCATCGTGGAGGACGTGGTGGACATTTTTGAAAGTGAGTGATTGAACTGTTGTATGTCTCAGTCTGTGTGCATATACATTGCACCCAATAATCGGGCCTCGTGGTAGGTGCGCTGGAGCAACGAGGGAGTCAGATCGGGGTATGGCAAGCATTATTCAGGTTTCGCACCCATAAAACGCACCACCTCTGGGGAGGGGGCGTAGTAACACGCGTAGGTGCAGACTTACACCTTACCCCTGTCGGACCAGGGCAAAACGTGTGTATGTTACTCTAAAAGGGCGCGTGGTATATGCGCTGGACCCAAACGGAGTAAGATTAGTGCACGACAGAACTTATTGGGGATGTGCTCCCATAGCCAATGCCACAGATTAGGGACACGGTGGCACATACATGTGCAAGTTCTTTCCACCGGCCAGTCCCTTTTTGCGGTGTCGCTCGCGATCTGCTTGACTATGTACTGGCACCGGGCAGGGGCGGACTATGGTTGCCAGCTGGTTCATTCCAGTTTTGAACGTCAGGCTGCCATAGCTGTGTCATTCTGACGTATGTGACATATGAGGCACCTTCACGAAGGCCTACTGCATACTTAGAGATCAAGCCCGTGAATGGTTAGCGTAGACTCCCGCATGTCTTGAACTTTTCTGGGGACACATGGTGTACGCCAGTGCTTGTGACCGTCTAACTGTTGCTATCGATTGCATCTGGCACTCCAAATGTGCAATCCTATTTCAGGTCGGTGACAGCGTTAGGCCGAGATAAATGAGTGAACAGTATCAAACGTTTGTTTATGTTTCACGCGATTGCTCACTGCGGGAATTTATCCCCATTACAAATATTATTGATAGGACAGGTCCGAGCCTGATGCACCATTCCTGTCATCCGGCCTAATAAAGTGGAACCAAAAAAGACAAGGAAGACTGAAATGGTCATTTATGGTTTAGCGGGCGTTGTCAGCCAGTCATATTAAATCCCGGACGTGGCAACCCCCGGGGTTCGAACCCGTGATCTTATAGTCATGAAGTGTAATACTCTACTATTGCACCATAGACCCTTAGTTTTTGTCGGTTTTGATCGGGAATATGATAGAGCGTATGAAAGGGGGACGCTTACCGATATAGTTACAGAAAATACTCGCACTTAGTGCCTTGAAGCTCAACCTGGAGCCATCGCAGGCATCCGCAAAGCCACTTGTACTAGCTGATGAAGTGAAACAGACAAAGAAAAGACATACTGAGATGGTTATTTCTGGCTTATTTGCTGTTATCAGTCACTCGCACCTAACTTAACCGTTTGCTACAATTGAAGCTCAAAACACGACCAGTTTATTTGAGATCAAATGCCCTAAGTATTGAACCATGGACTTATTATCGTTTCGGTTGCGATCGGCTATACATAAGCAGGATTATTAGGACAAACGCGTCGGTTTATGCCTTGGGGCTTAATCGCAAACCCCAACAGGGGTTGGAAAACATGAGGCTCGGACCAGCGATCTGTCGGTTATGAGTCCAACGCAACAACCATTTAGATTATTATTGGCTACTATCAGGGCCAACAAGTGAACAAGACGAATATGTCCCGTAACACGATCGATGAGTGCTCCATACCCTAATACAACACTCCATTTTACTTCTAGCATTAACTGTAACCTTACACTAAACTTTCCCCCCACCTTAACTTTTAACCTCAGCCCTAACATATTGCGAGCGACTCTAATTCTCACTTTCTGCTAAGGGAGTCATATAATAAATCCTTGCAAATAAAATAAAGGCCGAGTCGGATGTGATAAATGATATCAACTAGAAACATGTTTTCCCTCATCCGTTGGCCAAACCTCAAAGCTATTGGGCAGTATTGTACCACAAGTTGAGAACCGTTACTAAACGCTCCAATTTTAATATTATTTTGATTATTGGAAATAGCTGACGTAATTTAGTTATTATTCTCAATGATCCATTCTAGTGCACGCAGGCGTGAATTGATACTGACGTATTATTAGTGTAAGACAGTTTATAAGCATATAATCTAGACGTCGGAAAACGAGCTATTCAGTGGACTGTGCATAGTCCTGCACTTACCATGACGGTGTAGGTAATCTCATTGAGCCAGGGGATGTAAACGAATGTCTGGAACCATCGACCGACCACGCCGGAAACGAAGAAGCCCAAAACGAAGGAGACAGGTAGTTGGGTGCTAATGTCCTCACAGTAGGCCACAATTATGTGAAAAGTCCTGAAAGAAATGATAACCCACAGGAGTCTGCCGAATGGAATTAAGTCAGGGTACAATAGGCATATCCAGTGTCACTGAGGTAGACAGAACCAGTGGCTAATTACGTTTATTCTCATAGAGCAACAAGCCGTAAGGCCTCTTTAATTAATTTATACTCCAGGCGAAAGAAATACCGCAAAGTACACGTTACAAATAACAAACAATTGTTGAATCCTCTAAGCCAATGATGACATAGAATGGATGAAATTTCCTTAGCTATCAAACATTATTCGAAGCAACAACCCAACAACTTTACTCTGTTCTTCCAACATCCTTATTTAAAAATAAACAAGAGGTCAAAGTAGCTTATTCGAATTTTATACTTTGACTTACTGACTACATCATGAGCACCGCAGTAAGGGCACAACAGTTTGGAAACCATAAGCTACACTGAACGTTTACGTCCAGCCTCCAATTTTTCAAAACCTAACTTAACATTTTGCAGCAGTTTCCCTCCGACCTGAGGCAGTCGAGATCTATTTTTAAAGCCACGACCGCCAGGTCCGTTTCCTCTGTTAACGGCAAAAATCGTCTCAGCATCTATGATATGGCAGTACTCAGTTTGTTTTTAGATGCCTGATAACAATTGAAATTTCATGCTATATTTAAAATGAATCATCTAATTAGTTTTGCGATTGTCGATACATTTTTTGAAAAGCCAGAATCATTTGACCGTTCGTTCAGTTGTATACAAAGCCCTGGAACCTCGGTTTGCAAGTGTAATCCATTCAGGCATCGAACTCGTCAGGCAAAACTCTCGTCTTGCGAAATGCAACCAATCAAACTGCCTTATTTCACTGATTGACTGCAGGTGACCGAGGACACAGGCCCTGGGAGCACTGACAACTCGGTAACTATGCGGAAGCTCGTCAATCGAAATAAAATTTCTGCTAGTGATTCGTTCGTTACCTGAAGTGCTCGTAAATTGAGCTGCTCGTCACCAAGGCTCCACTGTATTCATATTTTCCAGGTAGTGAACTGAAAGACTTCGAGCCAGAAGAGGATCGGCTTCAAGCCACAGCTTCAACATCCAATCAAAACGTTTAGGAGTATCCGCGATAAAAGACTCACTCGAATGCCACCCTATCGATCCGCCAACATGTCATGCGTTTGTTGATTTTGCGCAAGCTCCCAACAGGATTAAATGTCTACACAATCACTTCGATGAGTCAGAACTGCAGTCAGTTTTGTATTCACTCATGTCTACTGGCTGTGATCCGATTTCAGTCTGACCTTGTAAATATTCGCTTGCTTTTTCGTCTTATAGACGCTCTTAGAATCCGTCAGCGCACTTCACTTCACTTTTTTGATAAGTTCAGGTTTGGTTATTCGATTGAGGCCAATTGTTACCCAGACGACCATCGAGAGGTGCTAGACGAAAATACCCTATCTTCTTTCCATCAGTCAGGCTTGTTGCAAACCAAACAAACAGCTGTCGTGAGCTTATGCGTCAGGAGAAGACGAAATTATCCCCATTGTGTTTACTTAAATCAAGGCTTCTTTCATTAGTTTCTCACAAGACAATACTGATACCAGGATAGGATTCGACAAAGAGTACTCGGTAAACAATTTCAGTCAGAAGCATCTACTCTAGCCCTTTATCGGAAGAAGGGAAGAATTAAACGCGTCTGTAACCAGTAGTTGTCTGCCTCAAGGTATGTGCGAGCTGGATTCGGCGCGTGAAAAGGCTTCGGGTTTAGGAGTCTGACAACTCAAATGTAAGCAAGTATTTAGTCTGTAAAGGTCAAACTTTTATCGGGGACTAGAACGATGAAAAAAGGCACACATCCATTCAAGAGTAGACGAGGAAGAGACCAGACTTACTCTTTCTGTCCGGAATTGAGTAAAAACCAGAACAGCGCGTTTATGAGGTAGAAAATAATCAGGTATACTATTAGATCCAGCCAGACAAGCTTGTAAAGGCTACCCTTCCACCTGAAAGTAACAAAAAGATAGACAAGCTAGGTGTCTGCCGATAGGAATAAACGATGCAAGCTCCAGGAAGCAGTTCAGAAAAAGATACAACCACTGGAAGATTAATTCTATTGGTTCGACATTTTAGATTCCCACTCGAACCATTCATCAGACATAGTCGCAGACAGGGGTGATAGAGACGGTAGGAATGCCACATTTATAGGACGCAGGTGTCACAGAACTACATGCGGAGGAGCAGATGCAAGTACCCACACATCTTAGCTGACACAAATTATGCCAAACCTG